AGCAAGTGATTGCAAAACAGTTTAGTACTTCATCATTGAGTACACAAAATTTTACAATGATAAAATTCTGTGTGTAGATCTATGTCTGCTATTATTAATACAGTTATTTTTAATGTACAAGTAAGTCTTTGCTAGTATCAGATCCTTTTCGAAGAGTTTTCCCTTACAAAGCTGCCCTTGATCCTAACTGTAGTGCTCTTTTAGGAAGTAACGTTTATAATATTATTAATGTATTCATTTATTTATATTTAATATCCTATTCGCCCTGAAATGCACACACAAAATATATACAATAAATACAATAAACCCTGCAAATCACCCCAACAAAGGGGGAAAAGAGGGAAGGGTTGGTAACATTGTATGGGCCACACCCCCTAAGCTTGCTTTGCTTGGTTGTAAATGGTGGTCAAACTGAACCCAAGGCTTACGCACTAGTTCAACGCTGTGATGCTAGTACGGCCAGATAACCTGGCCCACCCTGGCAGCAATGCAGCAATGTTCCGATGTATACACCTTGTCATCACTTGAACCTCCACAGAACAACTACACTGTAGAAGCAGAGCAAGAAAATCAATAAAAGCAATATTTTAAATTAGCCTCATTTCATATACAATTTGCAAGTATTTTAGATCTAGAATCAATTAGGATTGTATACCGGTACATGAACTTAACATTAATTTTGGTGTGTGTGTGAGTCATGCATGTACAAGTACATGTGGATGTGTTATTACATTATGGAGTGCATGTACATGTGTGTTCATTTTTTCAATCTTTGCTTGCATCAGATATTTTCCCACTGCATGTAGTGCTTTTTTTGGGAAATACTTTTGTATTTATTTATGCCATAAGCAAACTATCAGTGTATGATGAGTCAATGCTGTAATGGTCACAAGACAGTTGATGTTTTGGCATAAGAACAAACAACTATTATCAATGCATGTTCTGGTTTTGTAAAGGAAACATTATGCTGGAATTGCCTTCTTAACCAAGTCAACATACTTTATGTTTTACATGTGAAATAGCAGTTAAAAAATACACACGTTATACAAGTTTAAAAAACAAGGTGAAGTAGGATTCTGGAGCAAATTTGTATAAAAGTAATGGAAACAAGGGCAAGTAGGATTCTGAACGACTAGCAAAGATACAAAATGAAAATCCTACTCTCGTGACGTAAATTCTACTTTATACATTGTACTTTTAATGTTAAACATGATAAGAATCACTGCATAATAATGCTGTCATAACAGGCCCCCAGTAATTCAAAATCCACAAGAAGTCGTATATGATTCTCCTTTGGACTTGCCATCATTTGAACTTCAACCAAGGATTCAACCTCCACCCACCCACTATAGAGTAATGGTAGAACAAGAAAATTGTAATGAAGATCATATTAATACAACAAACAAGTGAAACGAGAGGAAAGGAGAGACAGAGAGAGAGAGCCATACATTCATTGAATCACCACATGCATACTGAGCATGCGCATTTAATAGGTTCACAGTATATACAGTATACACACAATATAAACAATGATGTCCAGTCACTTCATTACACAGCCCCCTCTTTTGAAGAAGACTGTCCCAGTCTTTAGTATGATAATTTGAGAGATGGTGAAGTAGACGACTGAAATAGCACGTATGTAGGACTATAGCGGTGTAGATTAGCTGTAAGAGTGGGTCCTCCAGTAATCGGTGTAGTCTCGTCGAGATCAGTCGATCCAACGTAGTTCTTGATTCAGTAGTAGACCGGGACGACAGAGTATACCCACCAGGCAGTTCAGGGACCTCTACCTTCATCCTTCAAGGTATAACTCCTGGCACTTCAAGAGGTAGCTTTCTCCCAAAAGTGCTACTTTCTAGGGCAACTAGAGTCTCCCAGTCAACTACCCACTGCGCCAATGTAATGAAGATCATATTAATACAACAAACAAGTGAAACGAGAGGAAAGGAGAGACAGAGAGAGAGAGCCATACATTCATTGAATCACCACATGCATACTGAGCATGCGCATTTAATAGGTTCACAGTATATACAGTATACACACAATATAAACAATGATGTCCAGTCACTTCATTACAAAATCAACAATGATAAATTATATATATAAAACTCTATGCACGAGTTGTGTTTGTTGGTATTATATACATCATTAGATTGCAAGTAGCTAATATTGTGTGTACTATTATTATTTACAGCTATTTTTTATGTACAATTAAGTCATTGCTTGCATCAGTGCATTACCCTGTAAAAAAACTACCCTAGATTACTCTTTAGGAGCCAAAGCTATGTATCAAAGGCTATCAAACTGAATTTACAAGTCTTGTAACAGCTTCTATAACAGCTTCTATAACAGCGGGGTTATAACAGCTACAGGTATGTTAGTTTCCTCTTGTGAGTTGTTATATCTACCAAGTTTATATTTGCATGTTCATATCTTCTTGTGTACTATTTCTCCAGTGAAGATGTGGTGAAGTAATGATTATTATTCTTATTATCACTGTTATTATTATTATTATTATTATTATTATTATTATTATTTGCTACTAGATCTATTAGCACTATCATGACTAATGAATAAATTATATTGTTATTATTATTAATTATCTGTTCACGCATGCGCATACACATCCTAGTATTACATGTTCTCTCTCTCTGGTGTATACTCTTTCTTCTCTTTGCCTCTTTACCATTTGTTATCTTTATCAATCTAGTGCTTTAGCACTTTATCTTTTATCGAAAGGATCATATTGATAAGAATACGTTCCCACAAAGATGTTGAGGGCATTGCTTCTTCTTGCTGGCTTCCTCCTGTTGAGAGTTGAAGGACAAGCACCTACTAGCCTGCCTAGTAATGGTAAGAATATAAACTTAATGACTTCAATTGGTTACTCACCTGATGTAGGTGTTCGACTGTATCTACCTTATGAGGACAGGATGATACCTGATTACTCTATGATATATGCTAGCCAGTTTTATGACATTGATCAGAATAATGACAATAATGATATCAATGATGCCTTGTGGTGTCAGAGTGCTAACAATGGTGCTAATATTGGAGTGTGGTATTATCCTAATGGAACTGAAGTGCCTTTATTTGATGGACCCTTTGGTGACTCATCAGCTCCTTGCCCAGTGTACAGTAAGAGATTTTTTGGTCAAATTGCATTGGCTAGAAGAGATGTTCTATCAGGATATGAAGGTTTATACAAGTGTATCATTCCTGATGAGAATGGAGTGGATCAAATACTAGTGGTTGGAGCATATACTGATACTGGATACAATAACAATGGTATGAGATGAATATAGACTATAATTAATGTACTTCTTTTACAGATGGTCCTGATGCTGATCCTACTATGCAGTTCTCTCTCCTCTCCACTAGTAGATTAGCTACTCCTCCAGTCTTCAGTCTCAGTTTCAATGTCTCTGATGGTCCTCCTACTACTGTCAGTTGTTCAGTGAATGGGAATGGAATATCTACTGAACTGTCTCGTGTGATAGTGAATGGACCAGGATCTGTTACAAGAGTGAGAGTAACAGTGAGACTGAGAGAAGCTGGTGACTATCAGTGTATTGTATTTAATGACAGAGTAACTGATGGTCATATTGCAGGTGTACGGGCAACAAGTAGTAGCACATTTTTGAGCTTATCAGGCTTGTGCCATTATTAATTATTTATATTATTATAATTATTTCTTTTTAGTATCTGATACTCCAACTGGTTTAACTGCTACAAGATTAAGTACTGGTTTAGCTCATGTAAGACTCTCCTGGTCTACTGTATCAGGAGCTACTGGTTATGAGGTCTACTATCAACTGTCTAGTAATACTCTTGTTAGTGTAGGCACTACTGCTTCAACAACAATCAATATAACATCAGGATTGATTCAAGGGATTACATACACTTTCTATGTAGTATCTTATGAATCAGCTTCTCTACCTAGTGGTAATGCTTCAGTTATGTTAACAATTAGATCTAGTAAGCTATTATAATTTCTAATTCCATGACTATATTTAACTAGGTATTCCAGTGGTCAATGATTTAATGGCTACTTTAGTTACAAGTACTTCCATTACATTAACATGGAGTCCACCAACTGCTGTAGTACCAATTAGTTATAATATTAATAGGAGATGCAGGAGAGTATGTGAGTCATCAGTCACTAATAGTAATGAAACATCAGTTTCATCACCACATACTTCAACTGGTATACATCCTTACAGTCAATGCTACTTTGATCTTATTGGAGTATATGGAGATGAACTACATTTTTTGACTCCTGATCATTCAGTTACTACACTTTCAACTGGTAAGATAAATTTATTATTGATCTAGGGAGTTCTTTTTCTTATTATTATAGCCCCTACTGGACCAGTGGATGATATTATATTCTCATCAGTAGAGTCAGTGTCAATGACTGTCTCATGGGATGAAGTAC